TGTGTATTTATTTTTTAGATACTCACCAATAAAAAGCAAAACCTGAAAAATAAACACAAAAAGAAATATATATAATCCAAGTGAATAAGACATTCAAAAACAAAAACGCTTAGCATATTCATACGCATCCATGCATTCACAAATATCGCATTATTTCACATTTCATAACAGAAAAACTCATTAATTTTAAAAATCATCTCCAGTTAAATCATTGGTAGAAAAGCACTACCTCTCCGACCGCCATACCAAACAAGGGTCCATCAAAAGAGAGTGATGGAATAAATCGAGGAGAATCATGCCGCATTCAAGGAAGATTTGGAGCAGGTGAAAGGAAACATCGACTCGATGAAGGGAGATATGAGCCAAGTTATTCTAGCCTTGAAGAACATTATCGAAAGGCAAGAATAAATTCCTAGGGCAGCCTTTAATGAATTAGCTCAAACTATTGGTGCATCAAGCGGTCACCAACCCAACAAAGAACCATAATCAGGATCTCTAAAGTCAACTATAGCTCAACAAGAGGTCATACAAATTGATACTGAAGGGTTTTTCCCACCTCCACCGAAGGTAGGGACATCGTATACCTTGCAGATTCCGATCAACAACCCGCACAACTACATAGACTTGTAGTATGGAGACCATGACTTAGAGGACGTTAATGAAGCACTTCAAAGGGAAACCCATACTCATGTTAATGAAAATCATTTGGTACTCAACCACTACAAAGCTCCTAAAGAAAGGCTAAGGCTGTAGAGGGTTATGCTGCTTTCGATGTCTGCGCCCTTGAAATGGGTCTAGGTCCTGCTGTGGTGATCCCCCTAAAATTCAAAGTACCTGACTTTGGGAAATATAAGGGACTTTAATGTCTGAGGAATCATCTACACATGTATTTCATAAAAATGCATTCCTACGCTAAAGATCAGAAGCTAATGATCCATTGTTTCCAAGACAGTTTGAGTGGGGCATCCTTAGATTGGTACATGCAATTTGAGCGGGCTCATATCCAGACATGGGCAGATCTTGCCAATGCTTTCTTAAGACAATACAAGTATAACTTGGATATGGCGCCTAACCGCATGCAACTCCAAAACCTGTCTCAAAAGAAGGAGGAGTCCTTCAAAGAGTATGCTGAGAGATGGAGAGAAATGGTAGCCCGAGTATAACAACTTCTCTTAGAGAAAGAACTAGTCGGCATATTCATGGGTATACGGGTTATACTATGATAAGATGGTAGGAAGCGTCTCTTTCAGATATTCTGATTTGGTAACTATTGGTGAAAGGATTGAAGATGGGATAAAGAGTGGAAAGATACAAGGGACATCATCTAGTACCCCTTATAATTTAAAGAGACATGTTATTAACTTCTCAAAAAAGAAGGAAGGAGAAATTAATGTTGTAGCATCACACCCAAGGACGCAAAAACCATTAATAATTCCATGAGAACAACAACCAAACATGTTTGAAAGGCCTTAGAGAAGATTTGATCTTCTTCCCAATCTGCATAGTCAATTATTGCAACACTTAATCAAAGCATTTTTGGTAGAGATAAAGCTCTAGCTCCTCCAATTGGGGCACTTCCACCAAAGTACGATGCCATTTCCAGGTGCGAGTATCATGCCAATTCTCTGGGGAATACTATAGAAAATGTTGGGCCTTCTGACATAAGGTTCAAGATTTATTGGATTCTCAACATATTACTTTTGACAAATTAAACATCAAGGCAAATCCCATGCCTTCGCATAGTGGACCAATGATAAATCCAATTGAAGTGATCACTGAATTTGGGGAAGCTAGACAAGTGAAGGACCCAATAAATCTTTTGAAGGAATATTTGTTGGAGTGTGTGTTCCTCTTGGAACATAATGAATTTTTTTAGAAGACATTACAAGAATTGGTGGATCAAGGGATATTCTAATTCAGGAAAAACCCTAAAGAAGAATATGTAACTGCGATTGATGGAAGTACGAAGAAGCCATTTTTATTTCCATTCCAGGGGCCAAACCTTAACAAAAAAACTCTTGTGATTCCACAGGGAGAGTCAGTAGAAGCACCAATAATGATACCGCGATAAACTCTAAGGATACCGGTAGTTCCTAAGACTACAATGGTGATTAGGAGGCCATCTCTTACCCCTCATGAAAGAAACAAAGCGGCACCATGGAGTTATGATTCAACTGTTAATGTCAATGGTTTAAAGCAAGAATGTGAGCCGTCAATAATTCAAGGACCTACGATCAAAAATATAGCGGGAACAAGGGGAATGAATCACAATGGCCGAATCTATGGTCCTGAACCACAAAAGAAGAATGATGTTATAGGTAAGGATAAAGGGAAAGTTCTGATAGAAGCAAGCCAAGAACAAGAGCCTCTGAGCAAGAATTTTTCTGACCAAGAGGCGAAAGGATTCCTAAAAATAATCAAGAAGAGTGATTATAGGGTGGTGGATCATCTACACTAAATCCCGACCAAGATTTCAATACTCTCGTTGCTCCTCAACTTGAAAGAACATCCATACTCTCTAATCAAGGTTCTAAGTTCTGCTCATGTCACAGAAGAGATTACTATGAATTAGTTTGACAACCTTGTAACAAATCTAACATCTGGATCATATCTAGGTTTTAATGACAATAAGTTGCCTCCACAAGGCAGAGCTCACAACAAGGTGTTGCATATTTCTATTAAGATAGGTACTACAAGCCTGTCCAGGGTGCTCACCTGAAACAACCGGCTGAAAATCATCAATCAATGAAGTCGCCATCGAACGTCTTTTATCCCACATGAAGGGAAAGGTAAACATCGAGAAAACATGAGAAGGGAGAAGTCACAGTCTTGCGACCGAGAGATCGGGTAAGGGAGTCTGTTACGTGAGGGGAAGGTATTAGCACCCCACACACCTGTAGTACTCTACGGTATCCACTCTTGTTATCTATCTTATGGGTGTGTTAAACTATGCTTACTGATTATTATTGAGAAAGAATGCATGCAAAAGAAAGGATAAAAGAATGTAGGGAAAATAAAGTTGTACTCGTTTGGGCCCTACCCCAATGCCTATGTATCCTTTTTGAGGAATCAGAGCTACCGTAGTTTGGCTCAAATGTTTTTGTTTGTTTTGTGTTTTTTATGAACAATGTTAATTCTGCCTTCTGCCGCAACTCGACCTTTGGAGACTTATGCGTTGGCACAGAAGTAAACTAATCGTGTCCTTACCTGAAAAGGGTATTAGAGAAAAGGTTCTTGGATGCATAAAAAGGTTTGAATTGGTTTGTATTTTTGTTACCTTGAAAAAGGATTTAAGTGAGATTAGCATGTATTATGATTTACTAAAGAAAATGTTTTAGTTTTAAATGCAAGGATGCAAAAAGGGAAGAAAAGAGTCTAAGGGAGACTACCCTATTTCTAACCTAATGTTATCATACAATGGTGGTCCTAAGATTTGGATTAACAAAAGGGAAACGTCTACCTAATGTTAGCATGCATTGCTTACAAACTAAGATCTAACTTACGTCCGAAGGGAGCAAGCACGTCCTAAGGGAACATGGTATGTACAAGGATAAATCAAACAAGCTAATAAGCTCAAGAGAGCACATCTAGAGAGATCCTATCTAGGTTATAATGCCAAAGTAGGTCTAAAAAAACTATCCTATATGGAACATGCAATGAGAGCGAAGTCGTGATCTCAATTTCTAAATTTAGTGACTCATCGATCAACAAGAAATAAAGGAAAGTGATAAAATCCTATAGGGTGCATGCACTGAAAGCGAAGTCGTGATCTCAATTCCTAAATTAAGTGACTCATCGATCAACAACCAAAGAAACAAACACAAGCACAACACATATAGCAAATGAAGTGCGGAATTCTTGTTATAGGTCTTTAAACAGCGACTTCGAGAACACGCTCTTTATTTCCTACTTCTCATGGTATCTAGAAAAGCGGTAAAGAAATGCAATAAAGTGGGAAAATGAGGAATAAAATAAGGTCACGATGATACCGAATGGAGAAGGTTCGTTGCCTCATCAAAACTATGCAAGCGATAAGAAAACTCTACCAAAGCTTCCATGAATTTTCTTGATGAAAATTATGCTCTTCACTAGCTTCGAAACCTCTTGAAACTCTAAAAAAAATCACCCCGCAATTGCGCCAACACATATCATAGATCGAGCACTACCATCGTACACGTGTGACATCAAGGTATCTCAAGCAAAGATCCCAAGATTAGCACAATAATTAATTATTAAAGAAATATATTTAAATTTCTATAAATTCCCAATATTTCCTACTACTTTTATTAAAACCTCTTTATCAATAAAATCTATCAAAAATCATGTGAAGAGAAACTAATAGGAAATAATTATCATTTTATGTTAAGGGGGTGTAAATTCTGGGCCGGGGTGTTTGGTACAACAACAATGACACTAAGCCCATACAGAAAATTGGCACAAATCTAACCCATTCCAACTTTCAGCATTATTTGTATAATTATATGCAGCAAGTTATAAAACAATTAACAATAGAATGAAAAAACTTGAAACAAATTAAATGCCAAATTGAAACTTGAACGGTGCCGTATTGATGGAAAAAGAGTTAGGGTTAAACCGAGTCCTCTGAACTTCTTCGAACCAGATTATTCTCCTCTTCATCGCGGTGCCGCTAACCCCAACCTTCTCTTCCTTCTTTGCTTAGATAACATCATCGCCACCACCATAAATCACCCTTCATATTGTACCTAAACCTCTCACTGTCTCTAGTTTCATCACTTTGTTCTCAAACTCTCTGTCGTCTCTCTCTGCTTCCGTTAACACCGTCTTTGTTTTGCCTCGATGCCATCTACTGATCATCACCATCATGCTATACCAAGGCCTCACTGTCTTTGACTTCTTTATTTAATTCCGATCTTTCATCATTGCCGACGAAAACAACATAGCGCTGCCATTTTCCTCTTCATCTGGTTCGCCATTGTTTCTTTCGTCTTAACACAAATAAGAACCAAAAATGGAGAACCATGCGAACTGAACCACCTTGTGCTTGCTATGGCTTCACGAGGTTCGGATCAAACATATATGTGAAAGGCGCGGAAGATTTCAAGACTTACCTACTAGAGAGTTCCGGTAACTCTTCAACTGTAACATCGAATGATGAATTCAAAGGTAAATTCTCCTTTAATCCTTCTACTTTCAATTTCTGTTTTTTATGATGCGATCTGAGAACTTTTCTTTCTGTCTTTCCCGATTTGTTGATTCATTGAGGAGATAAGGATGTTGAAGGTACAAAGGTGTGGACTATTATTGAGAAGTTGTTGTTGCTGCTGCACGGAGAACTTTGATGAAGATGACGAATGATGAAGTTGTTGATTCCGCTTGAAGACGCAAATATTTAAGGTGATGCGATGATTCCGCTTGAAGTTGCTGGACAGTTAGGGAGTATGACAATTCAGTTTCAAGTTAGTTATAAATTCTATTTAAATGAGCTGGCAGGTAGGAGAATGAGAAGTTGTTTTTGATTTGTTAGTTAGCAGATTAGTTTAATCTGCTTCAAAGTTTGTTAGTTATTATTTTAGAAACTGTCAAGGGTTAGAAAGTTAGTTATGTTTTTGGAATTCTGTTATGGTTATTTTTGCTGGAAATTTTCCACTTCATTTTATTTTTCTGTTATATCTTGTTACGAAAAGTTTATTGGAAGTGGGATTGGGAATGCAGGGCAGTTTAGGAGTTTGAAATTCATTTGGTGTGCTGGATTTTAACTGAACAGGTTTAGTATCGGCTCCAATCAGATATTATGCAGGTTTATGAATTAGTACTAAGGTTAGTGAATGCAGTTAGGTGTTAAAGGGTGAATAGGGTGGAGTATCAGGTATTGCATTATGCTTACTTGAATTGTTACGATTGGAATATGTGCAGGTTTCAAATGAAAATTGGCAAAGGTTTTATGAATGTGTTTTAAACTATTTTAAATTTTCCTTGATTTCCTTCCTTGAACTTAGTGCAGTGCCAATTTTAAATAGATTTGGGATTGCTTTTGGGAATGTCGCGTCGAGATGACTGAAGATATTCTTATAGAAAATTGAAAAGACTTATGTAACTTAGAGAATATTGTCACCTCTTGTAATTTTCTTTGTGAATTGTAACTTGTTTTTGTATAACATCAACATGGCTTGTAAATTTGCACGATTATGACTTTGAAAAAACATGAATATCTGAAGTTGGATAGAACTTTGTTTAATTTTTCTTGATGTTTAGATATCGTAAAAATGATCACGAATCTTTGAATCTTGATGAACTCTGATGAACGCAACCAATGAATAAGTGAATAACCTGGTTATTCTTACCAACAAATTTCATGTTTCGATTTGTCATTCCAAGTCAAACATATCTTGGAACCATACACAAAACTTAATTGATTAAGTGATGAATAAATGAATCTATCTCTTCTCTTGTATGAAATCCATGTAAACATTTTTCCCACTTCGATCCATTTTTTGACAACTTGAATTCATAGAGTCTCTTTTAACACATCCCTTTTTTTAAAGTAATCCCTAACTCAATGCTTAAATTCTTGTTGACTTGTACTTTATACCCACAACTCCTTGACTTTTATTGTATCAAAAGGCAATTGAATTCACTCTTCGCACAAACTGTAATTCTTGCCTTCTAACCCAAAAACTTGGACTGAATTAGTAAAAGATAGAATCATAGAATGCAATTCCACCATCCCTTACAATTCGAGCCTCAACTGATTAGAGAATATTCCGAAAACCTTGGCTTGATGAATAAATGAATTATATCCAGCTAATAGCAAGCCTCTTGACATTAATCTTGATCAATCATAAGAGGGTTCAACATGACTCGCTTCTCTAGGAAACCCTCAGATGAAAACTAAGCTTTATAAACATCAAAGGAAAGAGGTTCAATTGGAATCTTGATGCAGTAATTAAGCGCCACAAATGAAAACTTAATACACTTGTCTCAGGATGGAAATTTGATGAAGACAGAAGTCCATAATGACCATGAATACACAACCCTAGCTTCAAACCATTGTTTGTTTGAAAAAAAAACCGTAAACCTTTGATTGTTGAAGAAACCAGTTGATTCTCCCTAAATGAAGATGAGGGCTTAAAAGTACAGAGAAACCCTGACTCTTCAATATCTTTGATCACATGCCACGTTTTATTGATTAATGAATGAATGATGTGTTAGATGACCTAATGGAGTTATGTACATGAGAAAAGTGCAAAAATGCACAAGCTAGATAAAAGTAAATGGTAGGATAGGTTTGGGGTATTACATCGCCGATACTGGTTCCACTCTTAATGTGTTACCAAAATCCACCTTGATGAAGTTAATATTGGATGGTGTTGTAATAAGGCCTAGTTCAATGATAGTTAAAAAATTTGACGATTCTCAAAGCACAGTGTTTAGAGAAGTGGATCTTCCTGTCAAGATTGGCCCGCGTATGCTTTATATCACTTTTCAAGTCATGGATATAGAACCCGCATATACATGATTACTTGGACGACCTTGGATTCATGCAGCAGAGGCAGTTACTTCAACTTTACATCAGAAATTGAAGTTCTTCATTGAAGGAAGATTGGTTATAATCGACAGTGAAGAGGACATATTTGCAAGTCATATAGAGTCCTACAAGTATATCAGTGCTGATGAAGACTATATAGAAACACCATTTCAAGTCTTAGAGGTGTCTTCAATGGTAACACTACCAGTGGAGACATTTAAGAAAACTACTGTGACTTCGTGGAGAGATATACAAACAACTGTGGAAGAGGGTACCTCAAAAGGTTGGGGTGAACTTGATGAGATACCTGAAAAGAAGAATCATTTTGGTTTGGGATACGAATCATCAAAGGCTACCCTAAAAGGCAAGGCATGGTTTCCTCCTACATGGGAAACTTTGATCAACAAAGGAACAAAGCATGGTGGACAAGTGGCTATGATATCTAACAAGAGCAACATCAAAAGAGCATCTGACTTCATCCGTGAATATGCTCCAGGCGAAGAACTCAAGAATTGGACAACCGTGGAGATTCCATAGGTATTTTTCTTTCCAAAGTAAGTTTTCTTGTTTTTGAAAGAACATATTTCAAGCCCAAGGCATAAGGGTAGCTTGTAAGGGTCCCGTAATTTTTTTCAAACAGTATTCACAATTGATAAGAGTTATATTTCACATTCAATTAATATACTTGTCTTTCTCTTACATTTATTTCCTATGTTTTAAAAAGTTGCAACACTTTTCTTCATATGAATTTTCAAATTCACATGCTAAAACTGCACCAAAACATGATAGATATGCAAATCCATTCCTAAAATCACTGTGTTGTACCCCAAAATTTGCCCTCCCATTTTTAGTCAAGACATGCTCATTGAGGTCCTCAATTGCTCAAGGTTAACCAAAGAGTTGATCAGATAAATTATCCTCCTAAACAATGAACCTCCAATTAGGGTTTTAATTTTTTGGGTTTCAAAGGCTCCAAGCGATTTCTATGGTCCCTAATATGTCCTCATGAATGTTCATGCCGAATTTCATGCCTTACACTACAAGTTTGCTCAGTCAATTGCTCAAATGTTTGAAAGTCAACTATACTAGGTCAAAAGTCAATTGTGGCCAATAAACAGTCAAACTTTAAGATTTTTGGTCAAAATCAACATTTTAAAGTGATATACATCATTTAATCAAGGTTTTATCATGATTCCTCAAGGAATGCTCTTAATTTATCAAAAGTTAAGAATTGCTAAATTAGGGTTTCTATAGGAGAAGTTAACTAAACTTTGACCAGACATAACGTTCACATACTTCATCCATTTTTCTCCAACCAAAACTCATTTTTAAGAGAATCCAATTCCCTACAACTTCTCTTTTATCCTCAAGTTCAATAAATTCACCATTTGAAAGATACAAGCTCACACATTACATGTCATTTTTAGAAAGTCAACAAAAGACACTTTTTTCCAAGACCATTTACATCAAGATAAATTCTTCAAATTCAAAATTTTTTCAAAGAGGGATTGAATTAGACATCTTGGGCTTTCCAAAAAGTCTAAGATCATCATCAATGGATAATAATTGAGCAAATTATGGTTTGTCCAAGTTGGGAAAATTTGGGAAATTTCAAGAATTGTGCATTGGGAAAACTTGAACTTTTAGGTAAATGGCCTAACTTCTTGGAGTTCAAACATCTTCCTAACCTTATGAGAGACCTCTAAAATCATTTCTACATTGCCTTGCCATTTCTACCTATTTTATCCATATTTATTTTGTTTTATTCAAATAAAAACTAAATAAAATTGCATAAAATAGTAAATATTGGTTATGGCAATATGGGATGATGGTTTGAATTGTTTTTTGGCCCCAAATTTCGTGCAAAAGAGGTCAGGTGCATTGCACCTCAAAATGGGCAAGAATTTTCATTTTTATAACTTTTTTAATGTGTTTGATTTTGGTTTGAAAGAGGATCGTTATGGGTGGATTCTTATCATCTTTCCTAGCCCTCTTCTTCCTCTATAAATACAAGACCAAGGCATGAGCAAAAGGGGACAAAAATATATTGCCTTTCTAAAGCTCCACAAAATTGCAAAAAATCATAAAAGTTGTGAAATGCGAAATTGAGTTTTTCAGCCATCATCCATCCATACCAACTGCTCAATCGTATTCTTGAGATTCCTATGAATTTATTCCACCCATTTCCAAGGCTTTCAACATCCTAGATCACCGGATCCACGCATCACCAGTTGATAAGGTTTTCTTAAAATCAAAATTGCATTTTCATGTCCTATTAACGCGTTTCATTGTTTGATTTGTGTTCATGGTTGTTCATAATATAGGTTTAACGTGCAATATGTAAGCTTAAGGACCAGAATGAGATCATGCCATTGCTAGAGCATAATTTGTAGTTTCATTCGAATCTCAAGATCCAGGGGTGATTCCCAGACCCATGTCTTTTTTTAATTCTTACTTTTTTTAGTTTTTTTAATTTTATATTCATTTTCTTTTCAAAAACCATTTTTATTTTCTATCATAAAAAAATCACAAAAATTAGGTTTTAGTTTTTTTATTAAAATTAATTTTGTTAATTAATTAATTAATTAATTTAACACTTCATTAAAATTAAAGTTAAGTAGACTTAGATTTTAATTTCTTTTATTAATAAAAATGCAAAAAAAAAAGGTTTAGTTTAGAATTAAT